TTAGAACTTCAATCTGTCTGATCATATTTGTCTGGGGGATGGGTACATTTTCTTGAAGGGTTTACATGAAATGGTGATGTGTGATTATATGTGATTATGATTTTTAAAGTATCTTTAACAATTTTTCAGTCATATCGCTACGATGTCTGCAGTGTAGCAGTATATAGTAATGTCTTGCACTGGAGAATCATGCCACAGACATGTAGCATGATGTCCCACCCAGTCACATTATACTGACACTAGGCCAACCAGTCCTAACACTAACCTCTTAATGCTGAGCGCAAAGCGAGGCAGCTGTTAGTACCATTTTTGTAAGTCTTTGGTATGACTCGACTGGGGATCGAACCCACGATCTCCCGCATTTAAGGCGGACGCTCTAACCACTAGGCCACTGGAGCTGTTACATGACATGGTATTGATAATATTGAGAACAAGTCGTGACCATGCCTGTCCCCCATTTCACATTACTCTTTTACTTGGAACTGGATTCGATGACATTTGTGGACGTAAGACACGTTTTGTTTTGCTTTGTTTTTTATGTGTTGAGGAAAGAGCACGCAAACAAGATTTTCTTGTCTTTAAGAATATGGTATAAAACGTAACATTTTCCCTGTATTTTATCCATACCATTATGTTCAGGGAAATGTTTTGTAAGGCTATAAAAAAAACCTTTTTGATTCTAATGATCACAAATATAGATTACGATTAAGTATTTTCCCATACAACTCTTACAATCGGAATTCAATAACATTTATAAACATAAAACTAGTGTAATTCATCCGGCCTACTTCTGCATTCATCACTATGCAATGGAAAACCAAACCATGACTGAGCAAAGAAAATGAATAAATAAATAAAAATACAAAAAAAAAATGAGAAACGGAAAAGAGGCACTTTATATTTTGGGGCCATGAGTGTCCGAGTGGACTAATGAGCTGATCACTCACCTCTGAGTGTTTTCGAGCCTCGGGTTCGGCTAATGTGCGTATGTGAGGAAGCTTGCTAGTAGCTTCTCGTGCGTGGGTGATTCTTTCCAGGGTTTTCCCGGGTTCTTCCTCCACTATTTATATTGGCCGACATGTATAGCCAATATTGTGCTGAAAAATGGCGTCAAACCCTACAACAACAACAACAACAACAACAACAACAACAACATATATTTGTCCTTGACTAAGATAAATGAAGTTATTAATGAAAACTAATCGTGGAAATTCACATTTTAAAGTTATGAACAAGTTATATTATTGCCAGTCAGAAAATACCTTATGTAACTACATATTAGCCCAACGTAAGTTTTGACGTTATGCACATTATGATGTCATCAACTCGATGATGCAAAAACGTGCCCAAAGGATGGAATTAAAATGTATATGTTTCGTGAAGATATTCCGCAAATGGATATATATTTTTCCGTATTTTCCCCAGACCGATTTCTACAAACTCTCTTTGCAGATGCAAACTGTGCAAAGGATAATTTGAAAATAAAATAGATGAAGAAACTAGATATTTTAGATGGGAGGGTATAAAATGTTTTTGCAAGAGCCTAATTTACCTATTTGCCTTGGCTACTTTGTGCATCTTTAATTCAAACTATCTATCTATCTATCTATCTATCTATCTATCTATCTATCTATCTATCTATCTATCTATCTATCTATCTATCTATCTATCTACCTACCTACCTACCTACCTACCTACCTACCTACCTATCTATCTATCTATCTATCTATCTATCTATCTATCTATCTATCTATCTATCTATCTATCTATCTATCTACCTACCTACCTACCTACCTACCTACCTACCTACCTATCTATCTATCTAACTATCTATCTATATATATATATATATATATATATATATATATATATATATATATATATATATATATATATATATATATATATATATATATATATATATATATATATATATATATATATATATATATATATATATATATGTATAGATATATATAGATATATAGATATATAGATATATATATATTTAGATAGATTTATAGATATTTATATAGATATATATATATATATATATATATATATATATATATATATATATATATATATATATATATATATATATATATATATATATATATTAGTTTATAAGCCGAGTCAAACTGCAAACAATAAAGATCATACTGCTCCTGCGTTTCAAGTCTATGTTATTTATTCTACAGAATACTCCTAACAATCTGCACATTTGCAGATCTCCTGGCACATTATTCTGGGACTCTGCAGTTTTTAGTTGGACTCCTCCTTTAAACGACCAGAGACGGTAATGGGTAAGCCATTTAGTTTTAAAAGAAAAAGTATAAATCATTTAATTTTCAAAAAAAGGACACAAGAGGAGAATAGATGCTTGCCTTCAAGAATAGGAAACAATAGAATGAATTTATAAGAAATATTCTTATGTGATTATGTCACGGGTAAATGCTCTATAAGGTTTCAAGTGATAGCTTTCTGATTCTATTGATAAACAAATCCTGACCACGGATTTAATCCTTGTTCGTCTTGGCATCCAGAGCTACGTTTTTCTCTGATGTCAGATCTTCCGATGGCTTTTCTTTTAAAGAGACTGCTACTCGTCTTTGTGAATTAGTGTCAAGGATCTTATCTTCTTATCGCAACATCAGATTTACTCCTGGTGTGTCTAAATGTGTGTGCATAAGGCTCTGTTATTGCTATACCCATCAGAACGAATCTGGACTCAACTTTGACGATACTATAAATGTTATGGCTATATTACACAGCCAGGAAGAGCAACGCAATCGCTTTACAAAGAAGAATGGCAAGGTGGTGAATTAAGGTTTATTGTTTGGTTAATTATAATGACGAACGACCTATTAGTCAGAAGTAGGTTCCATGCATCGTTCATTATGTCTCTAAAATATTTGGATGTATGTTTATCTTCTTGACGTTAATGTTATGTTGTTAAGGTTCATAGCAGGAAAATATTGTGACAGCCAATTGGGGCAACCTCTGCCTTTTCTGTCAAGCCAGAAAAAAAAAAGTGGGATGAATATTTGGATTGGAGGCTTAAGGAGAACAAAAGAAAGAAAGAAAGAAAGAAAGAAAGAAAGAAAGAAAGAAAGAAAGAAAGAAAGAAAGAAAGAAAGAAAGCGCAAAAGGTTTTGCGCAATACGAGGTTTACTAGCGCTTTTCTGAATTTGTATTGATTCAATAAGAGGTCAAATAAGCAGATTAAAATTGAGAAATAAATTGGTAACTGAAAGTAGCTTTGAAGTCTTTTTCATTACTTCATTTGTCATATACAGAGTGGCGTAGCATTTAGTCACGAGATCACATAGGTCCATAACTGAAATGCGAAACGACGCGTCAAATTGAGGAAGAATGACCAGTAGGCCAATATTTTAAGGGGATGCAACTGCATGAATGTGAACTATAATATTTTAAGGGGACGTAACTATAGGAATGTGAACCATATTTATTATTTAATGATGCGTTTGTATATGTATGGATTTGAATCATTTAGAAAAGATATATTATCAATTATTGGATGTTTCATGGAACATATAATGCAATTAAAACAAAATAAAGAACGTACACATTTTTATATCATATTAACTATATACCTTATTTTCTTTACAAGTTTAATGTATACTTAGGGCATAGCGAGAATGAAGGGTTCTTTATAACATATTCATAAAACAAAGCTAAATGTGAGACAAAATGAGAATGTTTCGGTGTTTAGGCCTAAATGTGAGACAAAATGGGAACATTTCCATTGGGATTAAATCTGAGACAAAATGGGAATATTTCGGTGTTTAAGCCTAAATGTGAGACAAAATGGAAACATTTCTCGTTGTTTAGGCCTAAATGTAAGACAAAATGGGAACATTTCGGTGTTTAGGCCTAAATGTAAGACAAAATGCAAACATTTTCCTTGTTTAGGCCTAAAAGTGAGAAACAAGGGAAACTTATGGGGTGTTAAGCCTAAAAGTATGACTAAAAAAAGGAACCTAATGCAGAGTTGATGCATAAAAATGAGAAAAAAACTGGAAACTTATGCGGTGTTAGGCCTAAACGTGAGACAAAATGAAAACTGATGTCGTGTTTCGATATTCAGGCAAATGAGTGGCAGAGAATCTACTAACAATAATATATGAAGTTACAAAAATAACCCGTCCCCTTTTTTGAGATTTGAGATACACATATAATCGTGAAAACAAACTCCTTCTTAAAACATGATGGGGAGTGTTCGTAATAAATGTTGTTCTTTTTCTAAATTCTGTTTGAGAAACCATACATTACTTATTTTGGAAATATAACAGCAAAGAAGTAATATCTAGGAATCGCTCAGAAGTTGAAACTTATGTAATTTTAAGATGACTTTAGATGAAAATAAATTTCGCACACGAATAATGATATTTCACTATATCGTACTTGTATAATTTTTTTATTTGCATACAAAATAATTTAGTCTTTAAATCTGAGTATAAGATGATTTGTGAACTTCATTTGATGCTGTTGGAATACTTAGAAACGATGTTCAGCATATATGAGTGGCAAGATAACAGAATTTGAGAAACAAACGGATACTATATTATTCCGTACATACATCCGTGACATTGCAACCCCGTGCACAGTTAATGAGACCCAAAACTGCTAAATATCGATGCAATCGATGGAGATGCAGCACATTCGTGGATGGAATGGGTACAAGTTTTCTTAGAGTGATCTCTGCATGTGTGTGTGTGTGTGTGTGTGTGTGTGTGTGTGTGTGTACGTGTGTGTGCGCGCGTGTGATTTGGATTTTATAAATTTTTCAATCATATCGCTACGATGTTTGTAGTATGAAAGTTTATAGTGATGTATAGCACTGCGGCACACATGTAGCATCATGTCCCACCCAGTCATATAATCCTAACACCAGGCAAACCAGTCCTAACTCTAAGCTCTTAATGCTGAGCGCGAACCGAGGCAGCTGTTAGTACCATTGCTATAAGTTTTTGGTATGATTCGACCGGGGTTCTCCGTGACCTCCCGCATCCAAGGCGGACGCTTTAACCACTAGGCCATCGGAGTAGAAGAATTCAGTTGAGAAATGCGAGAAGCATACGATCTGGTTTGCAAAATAATTTGATATTTACTTTTAAATAGCAAAGAATGGAACGTTTGTTAAGCCTCAGCTATTATGGCATGTATAATTACCGCGACCATGTCTAAAAAATTCCGCGGCCTAGTGTTAATCTCTTACGTTAGGTTACCGTGATCCATCAGAGGACCCTGAATCTGGAGTTGGCATAGGCAAAAGATCGCTCACATCTAAACAAAGGCTTATAGTTATCACATATATATGTTAAAGGATTGTTTAAATATCAAAAGAAAGCTCGCGGTGTGAAAGGTGCGCGTTCTCGTCCGTCCCCACGTGGACAGACAGCGAAAAGGATCGCTAAATTTGATCGAATAGGAATACAGCGACATCCAGTCGGAATTGAGATAAAGTATTGTGATTACAATTTAGGTCTGAATTATAACTCTAATAAGTTTTGAACGTTTCCTCTAATATTTTTCCTGTGTGCACGGAAGTTTGAAACTGCTACGCGGCATATGCATTTGATACCAAAACTTAAAAAGGCTGCATGGCAATTTTTAATGAGATGAGCGGCCGCGCAGTCGCGCATCTTAGAGGGAACATTCTATCATAGCTTGAAAGCAAAAGTTAGTTTCTTTGCCGTAAAACTTAGAAGCAGATTCTAAGGAAAGACAAAGCTTTGAAAAGATTAGAAGGTTATTTGCTCGATTTTTTCAGAATATTACTGCATCATAATTGTAATTTGTTTAGTATGTATACATACTTAATGGGGTCGTTTATTATATAGAATTACCTTTGTAGTGTTTTAGTTATATGCGTATTTGAGAAATGGGCTTGAATCTTAAGTAGAGAACTATGTATATTGTTAGCTTGTGGTCATAATTAATTTTATAATTCGCTATTAGGTTACTTCGTAAAAAAAAAACAGTTCATTCATTAATGTCATTAATGCCTTATGTTAGAATTTACACCTGTTTGAGTTGTGAATTGGAAAATGGTTGAATTATGTAAGATTAGTTACTATGAACTTATGCATATATCAGAGCATGGATATTTGAATATTTGTATGAGTGTAAGAGAAAGAAATGTGTCTGATTATTTTGATATTGCATAGTATAACGGGATTAGGAATATGTATGGATGTAACAGAATTTACTGATGTAGGTATCAGAAGCAATTTATACCATGCTGTAGTATGACGTTTGTTTTACCATACAAAAGCGTATGGGTATCTCGATGCGAATGAATACATGGCCGAAAAAATTTAATAGCCGCTATTTGATGATATGCTGTGTGTGTAGTGTGAGATGAGACGGCTAAGGAAACATATTATACCGTCCTTGTGTTTTCACATGAAGCTTTTAGGGGACAGAACTTTCGAATCAGCTGAGTCCCGAGTCTCCAAGTGGGGAGACAGAGGTGAGACTAGCCGAACAGTCGAAGTCGACAAAAGCCTAGTCGGTGGAGAGAAGGGATAGGAGGTGGAGGAGGAGGACGAAAAGAAGTCTGGAGGAGAAAGTGTAGGAGGAGAAGAAAGAGTATTTAAAAGTCAAAGAGGAGGAGAAGAAGGAATAAGGAGTAAGTCGGGGAGGAAGAGAAGGAATTGGAAGAAATAGGAGAGACGAATACACAGATGAGTAGAATACAAGGACAGGTGGAAATCGATCTCACACTGCTAATCAATTGATGCAATAGGATACTAAAGGGTCGAGCGGAAACAGTGTAACTAGGAATTTGAAATATTTGATTTATTGAATTGTTTTTTAATTTCATTGATTGAATTTCACCCTATTTTATATATTTAACCATGTAGCCGTCGGCGTTGCCGACAGGGGTCAGAGCTTTCCAGCTATCTTTCACTAATTTAACAACCAAAATCAAGCCTGGATGGGACTTCTATAACGGTTTAATTAAAACATTGGAAGCACCCCAATCTAGCCAACCATAACAACCGGTTTTCTTTCAAAGACTTTCACAATATCAAGTCCTTGCGGTATCACATCGATAACGTGCAATATCTATCATTGTTATTTTGGCAATAATTTAAACAAATAGGGATTCAAAACTGACAATATTATCACATGAAATGCATTGCAATAGAAGAATGGCAATGTGGTGTGCAAATGTGTGTTGTTTACTTATAATAAAAATCTATTAATAAGACATTTGATTCCAATTTTTGCAGAATGTTTCAAATAAGTTAAGCCGTATCGTGTGTTCAACAATTGTTTAAGTCCTAACTTTTCAATATCTTATCATGGCAATAGTGTGCGCATTATTACGAATCTTTGGTTTGATTTAAGTAAGAAAGACCAAAAAAAAAACCCAAACAAACAAGTTCCTATAATTGAATATATATTTCCCGAAATATTACAAAATTAAAACTTAAAAATAACTTAAGTATTGTGAATAAAATCCTAAAATTCTAAATGTCTATACATGCCAAAAGAAATCCCAAATGAGCTCCAAAAGGTTGTTCCAAATGATGGTCAGTAATGTATTGATGTATCAGCAGTACAGAATGATCACTATGATATAATCCTAAAATGTTTTTTAATTAATTCACAGTAACCTTGTGACTGTTACAAATCCAAATAATCTTTAAATGAATTCACAGAAAATCTATACAGATATTATACCAATTAATCTATTTCAAGCACTATAATTCCAACGAATGATTAGAATAGCCTTTCCAAGTCTGGTGATACTAGTAAGAAGTTTTAATTCTGAACATTAATTCTCTTCTAAAGAATGCATTATCGTTATTGCTAAATATAAAGACCAGTGCGTCGTTTAAATTGCATACAGTAAACACAATGCACTAGCTAATTAAACGTTTGGAATGTATATATGAAACTAAGAATGTATATATAAACTAAGAATGTATATATGAAACTAAGAATGTATATATGAAACTAAGAATGTATATATGAAACTAAGAATGTATATATGAAACTAAGAATGTATATATGAAACTAAGAATGTATATATGAAACTAAGAATGTATATATGAAACTAAGAATGTATATATGAAACTAAGAATGTATATATATAAACTAAGAATGTATATATGAAACTAAGAGTTCTATATGAAACTAAGAATGTATATATGAAACTAAGAATGTATATATGAAACTAAGAATGTATATATAAACTAAGAATGTATATATGAAACTAAGAATGTATATATGAAACTAAGAATGTATATATGAAACTAACAAGACAAACCTTTATGATATTGATTTTGATGTGGCTTGAGTTTTAAAAGATTGAGGTCAGGAAATATTACAATATTCATGCAAAACCCGTTTCCTGCACGAAAATTCACATTCAAGAACGTGTACGGTTACTAAACTGAAACTGTATACAGAAAGGGAAAGAAAGGTATCGTGCATTTAATATTTAGAGAATTGGGGAAATATGAACGCCTTTGTCTATTATTTTAATACTGTTTCTTTCTGCTATTCATTAAAATATGCTTCAATATGCATCCTTTTTTTAAGACTAAAATATCTTTCAGTTAGTTCTATATTTTAATATCTTGCTTGAAATTAGTTTATAGTAATTTCGCCTTAAGATAAAATGGCTCTTTGGTTCCTAAATCTTGATGGAGTGAATTTCATCTATGCTTCTGAAATGCTTAATCCGGTGAAGTCGAATAGAATTTGAAACAAGAACCTCGCTTTAACCCGTGAGAGTAATGGGCTGTCACTGATTAAAGACTTTCGTGATAGGAAAGGAATGGGATATAGGGAAGTGTAATCGTGTTTTATGTGGAGAACCGTTCTTATTTTTCATAATATATTGATAAACTTTTGAGCTGAACCATTTAGATATACTTATCTCCAGTACGGAGGTGATAGATCACTTCTCGAGATACGGGAATCGCGATACCTGATTTCGCGTGATTTACGGACACTATGTTGGAACATGAGAAGATGCATCGCTTACATGGTGTTTTGTTCTAATAGCAATCTGTACGGAAACGATATAGGGAAATGATATTTGCTTCTTCCATTAATTAACAGATGAAATTTATTGAAAAAATGTTTTACCCTTCGTCTAGTCATTAATAAATCAAGTACGGTACAAACGTTTATCTTCCATACGAAAGAAAACTGAGGAAATATCCACATTAAAGTGTATAATACAAATACTATTGGAATCTTAATATAATGAAAATACAACTTAAGTCTGAATGGAAATAAACTGAAGTCTAAATATAATCGAAATATGACTGGAGTCTGAATATGATGGAAATACAACTGAAAGTCTGAATATAATGGAAATACAACTGGAGTGTGGATATAACGGAAATACAACTGAACTCTGATTATAATGGAAATACAATTGAAGTCTGAATGCAATGAGAATACGACTGGAGTTTAAATATAATGGAAAAACAACTGGAGTGTGGACATAATGAAAAATATAACTGAAGTCTGACTATAATGGAATGCGATTGGAATCTGAATATAATGGAAATAAAATGTGGATCTGAATATAAAGTAATACGATTGGAATAGGAATATAATGGAAATACAATGTTAATCTGAATATAAAGTAATACGATTGGAATCTGAATATAATGGAAATACAATGTGAATCTGAATATAATGGCTATTCAATTGAGTCTGAATATATTGGAAATACGATTGAAATAAGACTATAATGAAATACGATCAGCGTCTGAAAATAATTTAAAATACAATGTGAATTTGAATATAACTGGAGCCTGAATTTAATGGAAATACAACTGGAGTCTGAATTTAATGGAAATACAACTGGAGTCTGAATATAATGGAAATACAACTGGAGTCTGAGTTTAATGGAAATACAACTGGAGTCTGAATTTAAAAGAAATACAACTGGAGTTTGAATATAATGGAAATACAACTGGAGTCTGAATTTAATGGAAATACAACTGGAGTTTGAATTTAATGGAAACACAACTGGAGTCTGAATTTAATAGAAATACAACTGGAGTCTG